ACAGAGATACTTTTAAACTTTCATTAGTTCCATTCTGTACCGTGTAAGTCTTGGCATCAACTTTATAACAGGTATACCTTATGGGAATCCTGAGGAAGTATGCTTTCCTCTACTCTTGACACCCAGTTTCAGTTTGTTTGTCTTTAAAGAATCAGTATCTTTTTTAAGATTTATTTATTATTATGTGTACAGTATTCTGTATTGCATATAAGCCTGCTGGCCAGAAAGGGCACCAGGTCTCATTACAGATGGTTGTGAGCCACCATATGGTTGCTGGGAATTGAACTCAGGACCTCTGAAAGAGCAGCCAGTGCTCTTAACCTCTGGGCCATCTCTCCAGGCCCCAGTTTCACTTTGTAATATGAGTTTCAACATTGATAAAAAGAGTAAAACACAGGAAGAGTGCAGCAATGAAGCACCAGGAAGCTACAGAGAAACAGCTGAACAAGAGCAGCGATGCTATACCCACAGAGTCCGCCAGTGCTCAGAGCATTCTCCCAAGCCTAACATTCCACCAGGAGAACATAGAGTAATTAACACAGTACAACTGGATGCACTCCAGCAAAGTATGGGTGAGTTACACAGTGAATCATTGTCTCAAAAACAAACAAGCAAACACTAGGAAAGATGGGATGTATCTCAAAGGTTAGAGCCCTTGCCTAGCAGACACACATTGATTCAGTCTCCAGTAGTGGAAAAAACCCATGAGATTTTAGCAAAAAGAAATTTGCTCTGCCTGGATATTAACCTGATAGCTCCAGAATGTGGTTGAACAAGTGCAGGTGAAGTCATGAAAACAACAACAACAACATCAACAACAACAACAAAAATTTAACCCAATAATGTGATTTTGCCAGTGTTTTCCCAGTGGCTATGGGCTTAACTATATGTTAGTCTAGCTCTTCAACTTTTTACTGGCTATAGTTACTAAAATAGGCTCAGTCAGACAGTTGAATATTGGAACCTTTTTATTTTGAGCAATCAACCACACTTTCTATTTAGAGTCCTCCTAACGCCTTCAGGACCTTTAGAATGGTGGCTCCTGGTAATAGGATGTTTGGAACCAAGGTGTTCTATTGCCTAAGAGTTCTCCTTCTGTGTGTTTGTGTGTTTGGTATAGTGATTTAAAAGTTTGCAGAAGAGGACTAAAAAGACAAGTCTTAGTTCTTGGAATGTACTTCAGTGACAAAGTAATTACCCTGCTTGTTTAAGGCACTAGGTTCAATATTCACCACTCAGAAAAACAAAACAAAATACACCTCTTTATCCAAATATCTAGGGTGACTCCTATGTAACTAATCTCCCTGGTAAGTAATACTCCCATGTAATTCATCACCATTGAGACTCAAGCTACATCCCTATAGATTCCAATGATGAGGGATTGCACCAAAGCAGCTCTCTTAGGTTTTGCTGGCATCTCTGAAGACTGGGCAGTATCTTACATGTAAATTTATATTGACATTACTATAATATGTATCTTTTTGTACTACTTTGCAACTCTGTATCTCAAACTTTTGTATCATCAAGTTCAACTTTGGACCTTGCCATCATGGAGGGATTTGTTTGTCTTACCTCTTCAGAGTTGGAAATTTTGGAAGAAAAATAATCCTGGCCCTTTCTACACCTTTCCACACCACTGTATCATCTTTTCAGTTTTCTTTCTGTTTCACAGAGAAATCCTGTGTTGAGAAACCAGAAAAGAAAGAAAGAAAGAAAGAAAGAAAGAAAGAAAGAAAGAAAGAAAGAAAGAGCCATTACTTTATTATAACCAATCTCCTATAATAAATTTGATTTGAAAGTACATAATATGTATGTTTTTGTTCAAGAAAATTAAGTGACTGCAAACAAAAGGCTTATCCAAGATGGATCAAAAGGGCAATGTGCAACCATGCACCCACTGAAAGAAATAAAAATCCACTTGATAAATTTTATATTCAATAGCCGGGCGTTGGTGGCGCACACCTTTAATCCCAGCACTCGGGAGGCAGAGACAGGCGGATCTCTGTGAGTTCGAGGCCAGCCTGGTCTCCAGAGCGAGTGCCAGCATAGGCTTCAAAGCTACACAGAGAAACCCTGTCTGGAAAAAACAAAAAAAAATTATATTCAATGGTGATGCCACAACGATGTCTCTACTTTCAGGGGATACATTCAATGTAATCCATTAATTTTTTTTCTACTTTGCACTATAGGCTTCAGAACAATATCATCAATGACAATTAGCTTAAGCAGGGATGCTTTCCTTCATTCAACAAATATTCACCTACTTTGTACAAAAATACCATAAATCATTAAGTATGCAAAGTAGACATGTGGATTTCACAAGTTAATGTAGATAAGGAAAGTACCACAAATTAATATTCTTAAAATATTGTTAGAAGCAACTTAATGGTAGTAAAAAATAATGAGTCAGTTTTATCTTTGATTTGCTAGGCTCTGTGGTGAATTCTTATATGTAATCATATTCTTCAAACAATCCATGTTTTGCTATGGAAGCACAAAATCTGATACGTAATTGACTCAAAGTTACAGGTCATTACTCTAGCAGACCAAATCTGAACCCAGATTTGTCTGATATCATAGGTCATGCTTCTATTCAGAATCCTACCAGGCAGTGGTCTCTCTGATATTAAATTAAACAAAATTTGACCTAAAGATGGACCTATAGTTGGCCAATTACACAACAAACTGCATTAACTTAAGAAAAAGTTTAAATGATAGCCTAAGTTTGGAGTATACTTTTCTAACAAATAGCTCGTTCTCAACCATTCACAGCATTCCACCTTCAGTCAGCAGTTGGGGAGGAACTGTTCTAACCCTATGTTCTCATTTGTGTTTTGTTGCTGTGGTAAAACATCATGACTCAAAACAATTTGGGGGAGGGAATGGGTTATTAGTCTCACAGGTTATAACCCAACACTGAGCTAAGCCAAGGCAAGAACTGAGGGTGAGACAATGGAGGAGTGCTGTTTACTGGCATGCTTTCCATGGTTTTCTCCTCTGCTTTCTTATAGAACCTAGGACCACCTGTCCAGGGGTAACACTGCCCACAATTGGCTTGGTTGGTCCTTGAACACCAATCATTAAACAAGAAAATGGTCACAAGCTTGCCTACAGTCCAATTTAATGGAGGCAATTCCTAAATTGAGGGTCCCTCTTTCCAGGTGACTCTGGTTTGTATCAACTTGACAACTCACCAGCACACCATGCTTAAAAGTAAAGGCAAGTACTAAGCTGTAATCAATCAAGCTGTCTCTCCACCTCAGCTCTGTTTTCTGTACATTCTCATTTCTGTCCAAAACATGTGGCATGACCATGTTGAAGAACAGCATCTCTGAACCTGTTTGGGCTTTATGGGCTTCTTAGTTTGTAAATCATTCCTTTGTTCCAGTTGATCAGTTTGTCTAAACTTTTTCTTTTTTAAAAAAGGAGTCTTGTTACCTGTGAGACAGAGTCCAGAAATGACGAGCATTACTTTAAAAGGCAATTGCTGCCTCTGATTTTGCAACTTGAGATTTTGGAGCTATATGGTAACATCTCTAAACTCATAATTTTAGATGTAATATACAAACCTTAAGACACCAAGCATTTGCATTTTACTTCTCCAGTATCCCGCTTTATTTATCAGGAGAGGAGACAGTATAGTGGGGCCCAACTGCTATCTCTCATAATGAAGTTATTAAATTGAAAATAACAACACTATGTTTCCAGAAAACTATCTTCTAGCTGTGATAATTTTTTAAAAGAAGATG